TTCCAGGCCCACTTTAATTTGAAATTCTGCTATTCTAAAATAAGCCATCCAATGTGTTTGCCAATACATCAACAAAGGCTCTGACATGGCTGTCTTTGACATACAAAACAGAGGGCCAAAGTGTGCATGAGCTCTAACAATTTTTTCAAAGAACATGCATAATCAACAATGACGTAATCAGCAACAATGACGTAATCAGCAACAATGACGTGATCAGCAACAATGACGTAATCTGCAACAATGACGTTCTCTGCAACAATGACGTATTCAGCAACAATGACGTAATTTGCTGAATTATTGGCTTCCCCATCCACGACCACCCCACCCACTCACCCACTCACCCACCCCTCACCACTCACTTACCCACTCACTCACCCATTCACCGACTCACCCACTCACTCACCCACCCACTCACTCACCCACCCACTCACCCCTCACTCACTCACCCACCCACCCCTCACTCCCCACTCACCCCACCCACTCACTCACCCACCCACTCACCCACTCACTCACCCACTCACTCCCACCCACCCACTCACCCACTCACCCACTCACTCACACACTCACCCATTCACTCACTCACCCACTTACTCACCCACTCACCCACCCACTCACCCACCCACTCACTTACCCACCCACCCCTCACTCGCTCACCCCACCAACTCATCCACTCACTCACCCACCCACTCACCCACCCACCCACTCATCCTCAACCCACTCACCCACCCACTCACTCACCCACTCACTCACACACACACTCACCCGCTCACCCACCCACTCACTCACCCACTCACTCACCCAATCACCCACCCACTCACCCACCCACTCACTCACTCGCCCACTCACCCACCCACTCACCCACTCACTCACCCACCCACTCACCCACTCACTCACTCACCCACTCGCCCACCCACTCACCACCCACTCGCCCACCCACTCACCCACTCGCCCACACCCATCCATGACGTCATGCCCCCCCCCCCTCACGTTCCCCGCGTCCCCAGAGTTGCGGGGAACATCCTCCACTCGGTGAGTCGAGCGGCGTTCCGGCGTCACCCCTCGCTGACTCACAACAACAACAACGACGACGACCACGAGAATAAACTCGCAACGTGTGCTCTAAGTAATACTCGACCCCCCAAGGCTCTCCGTGATAATACGTCGGTGATTGAGTTCTCAATGCGGGAAGTCTGCCGAGTGGTGCAGCGTAGCCCCATTCGCTAGGCCGCACTCAAGCGCCTCGAATTGTTGATTTTAATTCGAGTTTAATTTTTATTGCTTTAAGCTATAACTTGAATGTATCGATTTTCAAATGTCGCGTTGGAATAGTTCGTTTATTGTCAGCTTACATTACGTTCTCGTCGATAATTGAATGCAACTTTTTTTTATTTCAACGAATAAAAACGCGGCCCGGTTTTGCTCGTAAGCCTCGGTCTCGCCTGAATCTTGGCCGCAAATCGGGGCACGCGGCCCCGCATGGGAGAGCTCCGTGTAGACGCGTACTTTTATTATTTATATAACCAAGGCCACGTAAAAATTAACACCGTTTAACAATCGCATTCGTTTACAAGTACAGTTCTTTTCTACAAGTTGAATTACGTGTTAATAAATGACCACTCACTCACCCTCCCTCACCCACTCACTCACCCACTCACTCAACCACTCACCCACTCACTCAACCACTCATCCACTTACTAACCCACTCGCCCATCCCTCACTCAACCACTCATCCATTTACTCACCCACTCGCCCATCCACTCACTCACCCACTCATCCACTTACTCGCCCATCCACTCACCCACTCACTCACCCATCCACTCACCCACTCACTCATCCACCCACTCACCCACCCACTCGCTCACCCACCCACTCACCCACCCACTCACCCACTCACTCACACCCCCACTCACCCCACCCACCCACTCACCCACCACTTACCCACTCACCCACCACCCACCCACTCACCCACTCATCCACTCACTCACCCACTCGCCAATCCACTCACCCACTCACTCACCCATCCACTTACCCACTCACTCATCCACCCACTCACCCACCCACTCACTGGCTCACCTACTCACCCACCCACTCACTCACCCACCCACTCACTCACCCACCCACTCACTCACCCACTCACTTACCCACTCACCCACCCACCTACTCACTCACCCACTCACTCATCCACTCACCCACTCACCCACGCACCCACCCACCTATCACTCACCTACCCACCCACCTACTCACTCACCACTCACCCACTCACCCACCCACCTACTCACCCACTCACCCACTCACTCATCCACTCACCCACTCACCCACGCACCCACCCACCTACTCACTCACTCACCTACCCACCCACCCACCTACTCACTCACCCACTCACCCACCTACTCACTCACCCCACCCACTCACCCCACCCACTCACTCAACCCACCCACTCACTCACCCACTCACCCCCCCCCACTCCCACCACTCACTCACCCACTCACTCACCCACCCACCTACTCACTCACTCACTCACCCACCCACTCACTCACCACTCACCCACTCACTCACTCCCCACCCACCCACTCACTCACTCACCCACTCACCCACCCACCTACTCACCCACTCACTCACCCACCCACTCACTCACCCACTCACTCACCCCACCACCCCACCCACCTACTCATTCACCCACCCACTCACCCACCCACTCACCCACCCACCTACTCACTCACCCACTCACCCACCTACTCACTCACCCCACCCACTCACCCCACCCACTCACTCAACCACCCCTCACTCACCCACTCACCCACCCACCCACTCACCCACTCACTCACCCACTCACTCACTCACCCACCCCCTACTCACTCACTCACTCACCCACCCACCCACTCACTCACTCACCCACTCACTCACTCACCCACCCACTCACTCACCACTCACCCACTCACCCACCTACTCACCCACTCACACTCACCCACCCACTCACTCACCCACTCACTCACCCACTCACCCACCCACTCACCCACTCACTCACCCACCCACCTACTCACTCACTCACTCACCCACCCACTCACTCACCCACTCACTCACCCATCCACCCACTCACTCACTCACCCACTCACTCACCCACTCACTCACCCACTCACTCACTCACCCACTCACCCACCCACCTACTCACCCACTCACCCACCCACTCACTCACCCACTCACTCACCCACTCACCCCCCACCCACCTACTCACTCACCCACCCACTCACCCACCCACTCACCCCACCCACTCACCACCCACCCCTCACCCCACTCACTCACCCACTCACTCACCCACTCACTCACCCACTCACCCACCCACCTACTCACTCACCCACTCACTCACTCACCCACCCACTGCTATAAATTTTCACGAAATGAATGGCTTCGTTAGGCTACCATCTGTGGCCAGGTCGCTTCTGAAAAAGAGCCGGGTAGCTCAGCGGCCCTTTCCTGGTGAGAAAGAGTTGAGTGTTTATGGCCTCGGAGCAGCGCTAGAAAATGGACAATTTGTAATGCGTGTAGTTTAATCGATCAGAATAGCTGGAACAATCCCCAATCCAAAATGCTTTCATAGATCCTAGACAACATACGTACATCTATCATCTCTTCTCCCCGTAATGATCGATGTCTCCTCGATGTGTGCGACGTTGCTACTTTAGCGAATCGGCGGCGTTGCGGTGGTGATAACAAAGGCTCAGCCTCTTAAGCCTCACCTTACCATATTAATAAAAAGTGTGCCGTACCTGGCCCTTCCCCCTCTCCCATTATATATACGGAGTGGTAGCTCTTGCAATCTCATCATTTACTTGATACAGCTGTCGTGGCTGTGACGGTTTCACCTGAAGACGGAGGCTTGTGTTGCCTCCGAAACGTCGTGAATTTTTTATTTGTTTTATTTTACTTTTATTAATTTAAATGTTTTACCTACACGATGACTTTACCGAAAAAAAAAACCTAAGAGGTGATTACACCGTGCTGCAGTCTCTAAAAGCCGAGTTCAGTTGTGGACCTTGATGCCAACCAACAGCAGCACCCCCCTTGATTGGTGGTCTTGTCAGGCTGGGTCCTCACTGCGCTTCAGGCTAACCGACACGTCCCTGTGTGTCTCTGCAGTTGTCATCATCGTCGTCGTCGTCGTCGTCATGATGGTGGCAGCCCCTCCACCTCCATCTCTTCAGCTTCGGGAGTTGCGAGGAAGCTTTGGTCAGTGTTTGCGATTGCGTTCATGTCGCCGTGTGCTTACAATGCGTTTGAGACAATCGCTTTAGGCCGAGTGTTGTTTCGTGTTTGAGTGGGTTGTTGGGTGAACACAGCCTGGTGGTGTAAGTTTGGAATCTACATCATGATACCTCCTTTGCCAGTAGCAAGATATAGTAATAGGGGTTTACCCTTTTTTCTGGCAACACAACCGACACCTTTATACAAGGGATCGTGTTTGCAATGACCACAACACTTGCAGTCAAAATGCAAACGAAATAGAGACGACCCTGATAATGATATGCACTGTCCTTGAAATTGATTGGTCCACACCCGAGACGGCTTTCATTTTTATCACATTGGTATTTTAAATTAAATATGAAATTTTTTTTTTCCTAAAAAGTGGAAAATTTTGGGAAAAAAATTTTTCACGAAAATTACTTGTCACGCACAACGAGTCTGTGTGCAAAATGTCAGCTCGATTGGATCACGGGAAGTGGGTTAAAAAACGACCGAAATATTTGCACGGTCGTAAGCGCGCAAGCAAGCAAGCGAGTGAACTTAATATAAAGGATTTTAAAAAATGTAACTACGTGACGTTACCGAAAAATCCAAAGAGTATGAATCTTTGCACAGCAACGCGCGCATTGAGGGGTGTTGCTCACTCCTAATGGCTCGTGTGTGCGCGTTTGCTTTGCGTGTCTGCGCATGTGTGTGTGTGTGTGTGCGTGTGCGTTGAACTTCTTCCGCACCATACTTAGCCGACTGTGCGCTCACCGGAGATGCGCGTGTTCTTGGTGTCGGCGTGTCTCTTTTGTAACAAGCCGGCGAGCAGATAAAGTGTTGCGTGATTACGATTTGCGCAACGATTGCTTCGAGGGCGATTTCAATGCGGGGGTGACGTGACGACCGCCTCTCTCTCCGTCTGTCCCGCAGGCGGTGAGGCCTGTGCCTCTGCTGCTGCGTCTCTTGCGCTCTGTCGGTGCGACAGGCGACACGTTCACGCTGCCGCAGGTGAGATGCGGACGCTCACTCGCGACGCCTGTGCCGAGGCGTGGGCGGTTTGCCCGCCGCTTTGCCTGGCATTGCCCCAAAATGATAATTGTTTTTTTAAAAATCCTTTATATTAAGTTCACTTGCTTGCGCGCTTACGACCGTGCAAATCTTTCGGTCGTTTTTTAACCCACTTCCCGTGATCCAATCGAGCTGACATTTTGCACACAGACTCGTTGTGCGTGACAATTTATTTTCGTGAAAAATTTTTTTTCAAAAATTTTACACTTTTTAGGAATTTTTTTATTATATTTAATTACCAATTGCTTAATGGTGGCAGGCAATCATCTGACCCATAGGTGGCAGCCATCTCAAGCCAGAGGACGAGAGGACTCTAGCCGCCACGCATATAAAGGATTTATAGCGAAAAACTTTGTTTTTACGGGTTAATTTTTACCCTTTTATCTGGCAACAAAACTGACACTTTTTTTACAAGGTGTCATGTTTGCATAGACCATAATACCTGCATTCGTAATGCAAACAAAAAACAACAACTCTGATAATGTATGCACTGTCCTTGAAGTTGATTGGTCCACACCCAAAGCAGCTTTTCTGAGAGCCTAGTCTCACATGGTGTTGGACCAGATGACGCCAAAAGGCGCACAACTCACTCAAAAGAGCGCACTGTCAGAGTATTGAGAGGTTGGAGGAGGCCTCTCAGTTGACGGAGGCATCCTCCCGCGCAGGTCTTCCATCACCTGGGCGGCTACATCAAGACGAAGCAACTCTACGACAAGCGGAGGCTACACATCGTGCACTGCAAGGGCGACCCTCTGGGGGAGCTGTTCGGCGTGGAGAGCTTCTCCCTCAAAGAGCCGAGGTGAGAAAGACCGGCGGCGTGTCGAGGAGTTTGTCAACCGAGGGTTGCGACGGTATGTACCACGGATGAACTGTGCGCTGTTGTGACCACTGGATCATCGGTCCTGTGGCGTGATGGGAGAGCTCATCTGATGGGCACAACTTTTCTAATTTGCCGTGTAAAATCTACCCTTGCGTTGTTGATTTGTTTGTGCGACAGCTTGTGCTTCACCCCGAGCTCTCATACTCTGATGGTGCGTTGTCTTTGAGCTGTGCGCCTATTGGCGTCATCTGGTCCAACCCATGTGAGACTAGGCTCTAAGGAAAGCTGTCTCGGGTGTGGACCAATCAACTTCAAGGACAGTGCATTCATTATCAGAGTTGTGTTTTTTGTTTGCATTATGACTGCAGGTATTGTGGTCTATGCAAACATGATTCCTTGTAAAAAAGGTGTCAGTTTTGTTGCCAGATAGAATGGTATATAAACAATTATCAGCTTGTGCTAATTTAGAATGTTCATTTCACACACATCCTGTAAAACAATTATGTAACTTAATTGTAATTGTACTATGATCAGTTTGAAAATGTGGCTGAGCCAACACAAGAGTGTGTATTATTGAACATTGATTTATATCTGCCATATGTTTTTCCATTTCTCATATGACACCGTTTTTTCTCAGATGTTTCTATTTGATTGCTGTATTTCACGTGATTTGATTTGGTTTTGTCAGCTCGGGTTACCCAGGTGTCACCACCCTTGCGTATGAAACTAATCCCCGGACTATTGAGTTCTCACCTGGTGAAACAAATAAACTCTCGTTGTTTACAGGAAGTGTTATACTCGGTTTAATAGGTAAACCGGCATGTGCGTGAAATGGTTGTTCGGTAGCTTGCGTTCAATGATTGACTATCAGACGAACATGCGCACTTTAACCCTCGGTTGGAGTTGCAAACGGTGAATAAAATAGAATGTAACACGATGAATTATCAAACATTGGTTCTGTCAGTAAAGTCACGTAGAAGGGAAATAATAAAATAAAATAAAAAAATAAAAAATAGAAATAACTAAATTAAATCACGAATTTTTAATATTTTATTTGTTCAAAGAAGCAAAGAGTATGGATTCTTGCAGTCACGCAAACTTCCACCCCAGCGTTCGTTCTCTCACAGACATCTCTCCTCTGTCTGCAGCTCGTCCCCCAGGTCGCTGGGCGCTCTCCTGGCCAAGGCGCTCGGCAGAGCCGCCACCGACAGACGCAAAGGTGGAGCCAGGCCCCGGCAAGGTAACGTAAAAGTTTAAAGGTAAAAACAACGAGCCTACCTTTACCCTACCATTTACCTTACCATAATATAATCACTCTACCCTTACCTTAGACCCTTTAGCAGGTAAGGTACAAGTTAAAATGTAATAGTAGTATCATCAGCAGTAGTAGTATCAGCAGTAGTAGTATCATCATCGGTAGTATCAGCAGTACTAATATCATCACCGGTAGTATCAGCAGTAGTAGTATCATCATCGGTAATATTAGTAATAGTATCATCAGCAGTAGTAGTAGTATCATCACCGGTAGTATCATCAGTAGTAGTATCATCATCGGTAATATTAGTAATAGTATCAGCAGTAGTAGTAGTATCATCATCGGTAATATTAGTAGTAGTATCATCACCGGTAAAAAGCAACGAGCCTACCTTTACCCTACCTTTTACCCTTACCCCATACGAATTACCCGATTACAGGGTAATTACTGGGGTACTACTACACATGAACAAGGTTTATAACGGTAAACGCTGTAAGGTAGAGCGCTTTATTCATATAGAATACTCTCCATGATTCCAATTTTACACGCTTGTCGTTGTTGTCGTTGTTGTATCCTCAAATCTTGTAACTCAATTTTAACCCACTTCCCAATGTGGTATCGACTGCAAACTTGGTATACTTATGTCATACTGATGACAAAAATATATAATGTTTTAAACATTTTTTTTATGTTAAGTTTCGGTTTGGGTCTAATTGTCCACAATCAACTGGCGTTGGCTGCAATCGGCCACGGCCCCTTACGTTGTGGCCACTTCCTGGAGTCGTGGAGTTCTGCCAGTACTCGTACATTTCATAAAAGCGTGTTTAAAAAAAGTTTTAAAAATATTACTTATTGAATAGAGGCCACAGACTGCTCCACGGAGCTTCTAGCGGTAAACAAGGCACCGTATTTACCGGGTAACACTTCGCGCTACCTTGACCCTACCGGGTAATTCTTCCGAACTACCTTTAACCCTTTACCTTACCCCTTGGCATGTCGACACCTTTACCCGGCTACCCGTACCCAGCCGGGTACGGGTAGCCGGGTACCCGTTTGCGACCCTGGTGCGGCCGGGTACGGGTAGGCCGTGAGTCACTGGTGAGTAACCGTTTGTCACTCATTTCCCAACGTCTTGTCTCTTCTCACAATTCAAGTTCCTAGAATCAACCCACCCGCGCCTGCAACGTGGCTTCATCCCAGAGGTCGCAATCGGGTACCCGATACCCGTACCCTACCCGTACCCGGCCGGGTACGGGTAGGGTACGGGTACGGCCGGGTACGGGTACGTGAAAGGAATCAAAACCCGTTTGCGACCTCTGCTGTCGCGGTGCTCACGTATCGGTGCGCGTGTCGTTCTGCGGCATGCAGATTACGCGGCGGGAGCCGTGAAGGGAAGCTCATTGGCGACGGCCGACGGAGACAAGCGGCAGGTGAGTTTGGCGGTGGCGTCACGAGCACGTCGGAGCGCGCGTGCGCTCGCGCGTGCGGCCGGTGCGAGCGTGGGGATCGGTGGCCCACACGCGCTTTGATTGACTTGTCCGTGTTTTCATAAAAGTAAGTTCTCACAGCAGCGTAGCTACGCACAGCCTCCTCACCCAGCCCCTCCCCATCCTCCCACCCAGCCCCCCAGCCCCACCGTCCCTCTCCACCCAGCCCACCCCTCTCCCACCCCCCCCCAGCCCCACCCTCCCCTCCCCACCCAGCCCCTCCCAATCCTCCCCACCCCACCCGGCCCCACCCCTCCCATTCTTGCATGCACGACTGACGGACGGACACAATAATCCCCTGTGGGCTGGGTGGAACCAGGTGGTTCCTACCAGTGTAACCGTCGACTCTGCTCATCGTGTCCGTAGCCCAGAGCAAGTTGTGGTCAGTCCCAACAGGAACCGCAGCAACGAGGGAGGGAGGAGACGGACACGAGGAGGAGGAGGGCGTTGACGACGATGTCAAAACGAAGACGTCGTCGGACACCGTCTCCCCCGCTCCCTCGGCTCCCGCGAGCTCCGACCACGACATCAGCAGCAGCAGTAGCGGCAGCAGCAGCAGCAGCGGCAGCAGCAGCAGCGACGCCAACGCCGCGTGCCTCGTGTGCCTCGTGTGCCAGCACCGGCCCAGGAGCTGCACGCTCGTGCACGGAGAGACGGGCCACCTGGTCACGTGCTGCGCGTGCGCCAAGAAGCTAAAGCGCCGCAACGAGCCTTGCCCCGCGTGCGG